GTGGACCAAAATCCCTCCTGAGATGTGTGCAAACCTGGTAACCAACTACAAGAAACGTTTTACCTCTGTGCTTGCCAACAAGAGTTTCTCCATCAAGTACTAAGTCATGTTTTGCTTGGGGATCAAACACTTATTTTACTCACTGAACTGCAACTCAATTTATAACATTTGTATCATGTGTTTTTTCTGAATTTTGGTTGATATTCTGTCTCTATCATTTAAAATACACCTATGACAAAAATTTATAGACCTTTCATTTCTTTGTAAGTGTGCCAACTTACAAATCTGCAGGTGATCAAATCATTACTTTCCACACCGTATGTATTGCATTCCATTTGAGCAACCGTTGGTTTGCTTGGTAGAAAATAAATTTGAGTACGTTCTGGTCTTAAAACTGTCTACTATTCACAGCAACCAGTTTTTAAAGTTAGTATTGGTAAATTGTGGCATTGAAGGAACAACATGAAGATAAAATAATATACATGTGCATTAGGGCCTTTCCATACCAGTTTAGAAATGGCAGGTCATATACAAGCCACAGTTTTCCAGTCATGTTCCAGGATGGTATTAGATCTTGGAGATGGCTCTGCCAATCGTACAGGAAACACAGCTCGCAGAACACTTCAAAAGCGTTCTCACCAGTATAGCCCCTCACATCAGCCCCTCTAATTCCCAATGGTGGCATAGTGTCTCCATACCTGAGGCTGGTAGAATGGGAGGAAATGCTTTAAATAATTTCTCCCATTTTCTATGATTCTCCACTTGACAGGCCTGCAGTTTAGTGGACCTGCCATTTCTTGGTCAGCCCACACCTAAGGGGTCGGCTTCCCTGGTGGGGGCTTAAACTGGCCATACACCTGTCAATTTCTTTTGTTCAACCCGCAGGCTGAACATAAGAAATTGACGCGATTCCTCCAACAAAAACAGCATGTTGATCGAGGAATCGCCGATGTTTGCATTGTATTTTGACAGATGTAGGCGGATCAGCTGATCGAGGATTGCTGGCTGAAAGAGCTGACAGCCCCGTACACTGGCCAAATTTAGTCCGGTACACTAAAAACTGGCCGAAATTCGGCCAGTGTATGGGCACCTTAATTCTCCCAAGGGGAACCTACTCCTTGACATACTGAAGGGAGCAGAGGCAGAATTTTGGGGAAGGGTGGTTATTTAAAAAGAAAAGCCAGTAGCCAAGGCAGACCTTGCTGTGAAATGACGGCTATGGTAATGGTTCCTTCTGTAATGGTATCCAACATGGACATGATTTTCTAGATACTTTTATTTAGCTCCTTGTTGGTATCTGCTCTTATGTTGATGAATTTTGAGGTATGGGTTGTGGATTATAGATGTCGCCCTTTTCTACCTGGAGGCGGTGGTGGTACTTCCCTTGTCGCCAGTGTTTTTTTTATTTTTTCACTTCTTCAACCCCCTTCCACTTTTTAATATCCAACATTCACAACCTAGGTTCAATTTCCTATCATGTCCCTGCTTTCTGCTACTATTGTGAATTGATTTGATTTCAGTTAGCGTCATCTGAGTGTTTGTTTTACAGGTGTATGGTCTTTCTGATTGCATCCATCTAGGCTGGTCTTAAAATTTTTCTGACAAGCTGCACTGTCTTGCTTCTACCTCAATATTCTGGTCTCTAAGGCCTTAATTTTCAACTAGAATGCAAGCTTGATGAGAAGCATCTTTTCCACTAAGTGTGGGCCATGCAAGCTGGAAAGCTATGGCTTCCACTGGATGTGTGTAATGAATAGCTGCTTATCAAAGATCATCACCATATGCCTAAAATTCCTCAAGTCTCTATCTTTTATGCTTTGTCTGCATACATAGCATTTAGGTATAGTGACACAGCAGAGGTGCTTGGTATGTTTGTCTTTTAAGTGGATGCACATGTTCTCTCAATATGATATACTTAACCTCATGTTTTATAACAAGTGGCATTATTATTGTGTTAGATTGAGCATCTGAGTTCAGGATACTTTTTCTACATAAATGAAATTCGGGGTTGTCTAGCTTCAATGCCCCGTTCACACCAGGGCAGTTCGGTCAAACAGATTTTTCCGCGCTGAACTGCCAACAGTAAACATATGGGGCCCATTCACGCAAACGCGCACAATCCGCCTGCCGCCCAAATTTAATTTAATTGTGTTTTAGCGCTGAAACACAATTAAAAACAACCATAAAATGCCCTTTCAAAAATCGTGCGTAAACCGCGCTGAACCGCTACCGCCCTGGTGTGAATGGAGCCTTAAGCTGTGCAACACCTATGTACATCAGTGTTTATCAAGTACCGCTGCTGTTGTAGGTCAGCTTATCTTGGTCACCCTGTGACATTCACAGGCACTCGGGTACAAATATTACTTCTATCAGTATAGTTTAAACTAGTTTGGGTTTTTTTTTTCTGTATGTGTCCCATTAGGGAGATTTCCCTTCACTTCCTGTCCCTAAGAAAGAAAAGGAAATAAAAGGAAAGCTCTTAAGTGAGGGGTAATCCTCTCTTGGTCAGCTGTCACTGAACCAGGTGTCACCAGAGGGAGATGTTCCCTTGCTTCCTGTTCCAGTGACAACAAAAAAAGGATTTCTATTACTTGTCTATCTTGTGACAGTGGTCAGCAGGACAAACAGAGGGAAAATCTTCCCAGTGGGCCCTGTATTTTTCCTATACTAGACAAAATAACATATTACTTGAACATTACATTGTAGTAGGCACCGTTGATAAGCCATATTCACCCCATGCATGTTGCCACCACCCTGAGAAATAGAACTCCACTGTTTTAAAGTCTTTGAGCAAAAAAATGCCTTATGGCACAAAACCTGATATCAAAAATATTTATTTTAGTAAAATGCATCCTGAATAGAATTTTTAAATGCTTAACTACCGTTAATTTTGATTGCATAGCTCAAAGTATAGCCAGAAGCAGCTTTTTACCATTTTGACTTCGTATTCATGCATAACACATTCAGTAATATTCACCTGTAAATTGTATATTAGATTTAATGTGGAAAGTTTGGAGTTTAATAGATGCAAAACAGCAGTAATAAGTTACATAATAAATGCACATACGAGGGGAGTCCAATAAGTTCTTAACCTCACCATGATCTGGATGTGCTAGGGATCTGAAATTTTGCAGGTTTATAGGTGGATAACTTTGTAATATGCATGACAGATGTTGTTTTTGTAGGTCGTGGTGAATTATAAGTTAGAGCCATGAGAAGTGGAGATGGTGTCATGCCGGACAAAGTTGAATACCGAGCCGTGATTAGGTTCTGCCATCTTCAAGGGAAATCTGCCCAAATAATCCATGAAGAGATGTCAGCTGTGCATGGAGAGGATTGTCCATAGGCTATGAATCTCTGCCCCATTCACCTTACTTGCCTGATGTGGCACCTTCAGGGGCAGAGATTCATAACCTATGGACAATCCTCTCCATGCACAGCTGATATCTTTTCATGGATTATTTGGGCAGATTTCCCTTGAAGATGTCAGAACCTAATCACAGCTCGGTATTCAACGTTGTCCCGCATGACACCTTCTCCACTTCTCTTGGTTCTAACTATAATTCACCACGACCTACTAAAACAATATTTGGCATGCATATTACCAAGATTTCCACCTATAAAACTGCAAAATGTCATATCCCTAGCACATCTAGATCATAGGTGAGGGTAAGAACTTATTGGCCTCCCCTCGTAGTTTGTGTGTTAGTATAATAACTCTGTTGGCATCCTTATCAAAACTGTGCATTAGGACTTACGTCATACATCAAGGTGGACTTCTCTGCTCTTGTGATTTGCTTACATCCTGCAGCAAAATCTGCCTGACCACAAATATCTGGTCCCATGAAGGAAATCCTAACTGATCAGCAATAATTGTAGGGTTCATGTCCAATATTCTGGCAGATAGTGCTCAGTATTGCTGGTAAGATGCGGAATATGACTTAATCAGAAGTAAACAGTAAACAGTGGAGAAGTCTTAAGACTTGGATCTTATGGTTTGTTAAAGAGTTATTAGAAGTCTAAAAAGCTGGGCTTTGGGCCTGCCAGTTCCTGAAATGCAAGGTCTGCTATTTAAGCTTGCCCCATCCTCCCCCTTGCAGGACTATAAGTTCCCTATAATTCCTGAACTGGATAGACTTGATCCCTCATTTTACAATAATTTAGCCACCCGTAAAGATGCATTTTTCAAATATAATGAATATACAAATAACTTGCTCTAACTTGACATGCATTACACATACAGTACTAAGATACCACAAATATCTATAAGTCGTCTCTATGTTGCTATGATTACATTAGTTGAAACTCTAAAAATGGATATTGGTCTCTTGCCTCCCCACCTTGCCTCATATCTTAGGGACATCAGAGTGGAAAGCAATGACAAACCTAAGCTCCTCTTTCAATGGCTTTGCCAGTTGTGAGGATCTTGCTGTAGTGACCAAGAGCTAAAAGAACCTGGTGGGTTATTCAACCTTTCAGCTTCTGCAAAGACATAAAGGGGTTCTTACCTGGCTTCATTATGCTTTAAATGAAGTCTGGCATACGCTGGAAGAGGTGAGTAGTCTGTTCTGATGTTGGAGGGTAAATGTGGAAGAATTACAGATACCCCTTTAATTGTCTTTCTGTTTTGCTGGCTTCTGGCATGTGGCATTTTTCTCTTTATGAAGTCTGGCATACGCTGGAAGAGGTGAGTAGTCTGTTCTGATGTTGGAGGGTAAATGTGGAAGAATTACAGATACCCCTTTTAATTGTCTTTCTGTTTTGCTGGCTTCAGGCAAGCTTCTGGCATGTGGCATTTTTCTCTTGAGTTGGGTGCTTCCCCTGTTAGCATGAGTGCAGCTCAGCTGTGAAGTCTTTGGACAGGGTTGCTTTTGCTGATTAAATTAACCCTGCTGTGCTGCCTGGATTCCGCTGCTTTTGATGCAGTATTCCATTTTTGTAATTGCCTATTTTTTATTTCAGAAAACTACCTTATTAAGAGTCTTCTTTTTACCAATTAGGTCAAAGCCCTAAAATTTTAAGAACTAAACCTCATGGTTTAGAGCGGACAGATTCACAAACCATAGGTGAATTTCCCAGAAGAAGAAAGGGTATGTATTTTAGATCTGCACTCTGTCCTTTTAACACCTATTTTGCACATGGTTGTAGTGATGCTGAAGGCGGCATTGTAACTCTGCATCATTCTAGTAAATTTTTTCAAGTAACAAACCTACAAAGGTAGTTTCTTAAAAACTGTGTACTTGATAACTGACCTTGTTTCCATATGTTCCATTATTACATACATTACATCTAATATTCCATGTACTTTTATTTAAGCTGTATTTTGAAAAATGCTGTAGAAGCTTAGATGTCAGGTGATCTTTTCTATTATATGATAAAACAATGGTAGATGCTAAAACCGAATTCTAGTAGCAGTGTACACAAAATATGACACTGCTCTGCAAGGTTGGGTTGTGAACTGTTGTACTTTGGGCTGTGAGAACAAAGCATACAAATATGGTTGGAATAGAAAAGAAAAAGTAGGTATACAATGTACATGTGCACATTTATAGTTTGATATTTACATAGCGTAACATTTTTATTTTGTGCAGTCAAGCCAGCACCGCTGGAAATAAAGCCAGTTCCTGAGTGGGTGGAATTACCTGTACGATCCCCTGTGACTAGAAGCTTCACAAGAGAGTAAGTGTTATAAAATATTTTTGTTTCCCATAAGATGAATACAATTTAGTCTGCCCTTTCTAGTGAACTGCAGCATTAAATCTTGTTACTCGTTATGAGTATTTAAAAAGAATAATAATGGTCATGTTCCTAATATTAGCATATACAGTTATATCTGGAAATCATTGGACACTGACGCAAGTTTTTTTTAGGCGGCTGTTTACCAAAATAAATTCAAGTTACAGTTAATGAACCTGGGCTTAAAGTGCAGTCTCTCAGCTTTAGGTTGAGGGTATACACATCCATATTGGAGGAAGGGTTGAAGAATTGCAGCTCTTTAACATGTAGCCCCTTCTTAGGAGTCAAATCAATAGTTTGGTACGTTCTGAGGAAAAAACAATGTACTGGTGAGCTCTTCAACACAAAAAGGCCTGGACGTCCATGGAAAACAGTGGTGGATAACCGTAGGATACTTTCCGTGGTAAAGAAAAACCCCTTTACAACATTCAGCCAAGTGAAGAACACTCCCCAGGTGGTAGCTATATCGTTATCCAAGTCTACCACAAAGAGAAGACTTCACAAAAGCAAATATAGAGGGTTCACCACAAGGTGCAAACCATTTATAAGCCTCAACAATAGAAAGGCCAGATTAGAGTTTGCCCCAAAAATATTTTAATTAAGCCAGCCCAGTTCTGGGACAGCATTCTTTGGACAAATGAAACCAAGATCAACCTGCACCAGAATGATGGGAAGAAAAAGTATGGCGAAGGCATGGAACGGCTCATGATCCGAAGCATACCACATCATCTGTAAAACACAGTGCAGGCAGTGTCATGGCACGGGCATGCATGGCTTCCAACAGCACTGGGTCACTATTTTTTATTGATAATGTGACAGAAACAAATGCCAACTGAAGACAGCTGCAGTACAGGCCTGGCAAAGCATCACAAAGGAGTAACCCCAGTGTTTGGTGATGTCCATTCATTTCAGACTTCAAAGTATTAAAAATGAACATTTTATTTATGATTGTGTTCATTTTTCCAATTACATTTTAGCTCCTGAAATAAGGGGACTGTGTAAGAAAATGGTTGCAATTCCTAAACGCTTCATATCATTTTGTTCAACCCCTTGAATTAAAGATGAAAGTCTGCACTTCGATTGCATCTTGGTGGTTTTATTTAAAATCCATTGTGGTGGTGTACAGAGCCAGAATTATGAAGTGTCCAATTATTTCCATACCTAACTCTATATTCAAGTGTATAATAAGCCTTGACAATACATATATTTTCCCAAGTACTTTGTTATATCTGTTCTGTTGTATAAAAATAAAACAAAAAACATGTAATCTTGTCAGAAATTCAGAGCTGTCTTGGGTTATCTCAAGAAGACCCTCCATTTCTGATCATGGAGTACAGAATTATTCTCCCCTATGTGATTAATTATTTGGGGTTCTGTAAGCCAGGTAACTGCTGAGAATCAGTTGTTACCATTCATTAATGGATGCCTCAGTGTTGAGGCATCCATTAATGAAAGAGTTGAGCTTTTTCAGATACCCAATCCCTTTCAGGATCCGGGTGTCTGTCAGTGACAGCAGAGTGGCATTTACTGCTCTCACTGACAGCTGGTATAGATCGTGAAATCCCAATGTATAGCGGCTTTTTTTTCTTCTCAACCTTCAGCAATAGAAAGATTTTGATACATGTTTTATTGCTGATACAATGTTGCACGTTTTCTGATCGTTGTTGGAATGATCAGAAAACCTTTAGTGACATCTGATCCTGAAATGCTGCAGTATCAGTGTTACCAAGCTTATTATTGGCTGTTCTTAAGTTTGAAGCAGCCTAAAAATAACCTAAAATTAATTAAATTATCAAGCAGTAATAGTGAGAGTAATTCACATTGACTGCTTGATATTTTTTATACGATTATTAATATAAAAATTAACCCCTTACAATGAAAATCTGCAGCTGAGCTGCAGATTTGGTTTTCACCCTGAGGGGTTAATTTGTTTAACCCCCCTCATGACAGTGATGTTCAAAGTATGTCGCTGTCGCTAAGTGTGACATTGTATGGCAGGTGACCACTTTTAGCTTTTAGAGAAAAAAAGATTAAAATGTTAGGTCTTAGTTTTAGGCTGAGAAGTACAGAAACATTTCTAAAATCCTAGGAATGTGAGGTTTTTCCAAATAAAGGATAAATTAATGTAATGCATTTTTTTTAGCTGTGCTGTTTTTCTAAAAAATACTACAAATCAAAACTGGGGAAAAAGTGATTTCTTTACGTTTATTTTTCCCTTTTCTTTTTATATTTTATTTGTCCTAAGTGAGGTGTTAGTTACAAATATATGATATAAATATGTAGCCCTATCTGTCCTCTAAACAATATATAATATGTGTGGGTGCACTTTGTAAGAAAGTATATTACTGACGTGGAAGAATCACACAGCAAAAATGTCAAAAGTGCGTCAGTCATTTACGAACAGAAACTAAAAAGTTCAGTCATGAAGGAGTTAATCCATTGGGTGAATCACAGTAAATGCAATGGCATGTTTTCAGTTTGCATATGCTACTGTAAGTCCAACAAATAACAGGAATGTAAAAAATATTAACTGGTAAATAAAATGTTATTATGAAAGACCACATTTCTCTGTGTACCTTTTGCATGTGACAAAAGTATTCAATCTCACACATGGTTTGTAAATTAACTTGTTTATTAGTTCCTCCAGGTTCCCCATGCCTACCAGGCCAGACTCTGTTCATAGCACAGCTTCCAGCAGTGACTCTCAGGACAGTGAAGAAAACTATGTGCCGATGAATCCAAATCTGTCTGATGGTCCAGTATGTACCAATTTTATTTGCTCGTATTCTAAGCACTATAAAGTATTTACATATTCTGGACAAGCAGTAAAAGCACTCTAAAACAAGCCCTCGTGTATCTCTGTAGCTATATGCATTGTGGAAACAGACGCACTGAAATCGCAACTTATTTCCCCTTTTTGTTGAAGCATAAACTGGGCAGCCTGACAGCCTTCTAATGTACACACACAGCAGGTGTTGGCAAGATATGTTTTTCTCCTACTAGTCTTAAGGTGGCCATACACTCTACAACCATCGCAAGACTTTAGTCTTGCGATGGTTGTAAAGGGATTAAAAAAACGTACGATCTGCCTATCTTGGACAGGCAGATCGCACTCTCGATCATCGCAAGCCCACCCCCCTGAGGGGCGGGCTTCCGATGACCGCAATGCTGAACGGGCAGTGTGCGCGTGCGCACACCGGCCCGTTCAGCATTTATCTTCCGAGCACCGTTCTAACCAGCCGAGAATCGTACGATTCCCGGCTGGTTTTCGAACATGCTGGTTCGACAGAAGACGTGCGACCGTACAGTAGAAACGGTAAAGCAAAACAAACGACAAACGCACTCAACAATTTGTTACCAGTTGTACAGTAAGGTGCACAGTAGAAACGGTCGCACGTCTCCGTTCACACTGCTCGATTATCGTACGAAAAACCGATCGCATACGATTATCGTACGATTATCGTACGATAATCGTGCAGTGTATGGGCACCTTTAAGGATTCTTTAGATTTTAAGGATGCCTCTGGTTTTTGTTTTCATTGTCAAAAGTCCTGCACCGAGAGTTTTATCTCTGACTACTACCATGCCATCTTCAAAGGCGCACACACAGACCAGCATGATCTACCGTGTTTCCCCGAAAATAAGACACTGTCTTATATTTTTTTTGGCTCAAAAAAACACACTAGGTCTTATTTTCGGGGTAGGTCTTATTTTTTTTTTTAATGTAGAACAATCCAGAATTAATTCAAATCCAAATTAAATAATCCAAAATGGCAAAAGGTAAGAATAGGTTGATCAGGGCAATCAGGGGTGTCGTACCTTTCCAAGAGCAATTTGGCAACCAATTGCTGGCCAGAATGAGCGAAGCACGCTTTTACTATAAATTCCTCACAGGCGGGGTGCATTTGGTATCACTCCGCCTGTGACAGGAGCTGGCGCTATAGAGGAGGCATGCGGCTTATGCGGCTCTGCTCCCGCCGCTGCCGCCTCGCTTCCTCTAGCGCTGGCATCGCCGATTCTCTCCCGTGGCTCTTCAAGTTTTCCCTTCTGCCACCACCGGCCCTAGGAAAGGTCACAACTAGGTCTTATTTTCGGGGTAGGTCTTATATTTTAAGAATTCCCAAAAATAGTACTAGGTCTTATTTTCAGGGTAGGTCTTATTTTCAGGGGAAACAGGCAGTGTGCCCTATAGACTTTCCACTACTTTTTTGTCTCAAGGAAACAGAAAGACCTCTAAAACATTTACACCTGTTGCAAGTGTCTAATAAGGTGTGATGTGCTTCACCGGTATAATAACGCTAATTTCATAGCGTTATTTGCAGACATTCTTATATAAAGCTTGGATAGCTGATAAAGACCATATACTAAGGGGTATATTTATAAAGTAGTGATTGTGACATTCTCCATACACTCACTGCAGATGTATGTGCCTAGGGTATAAAGGGTCTTGTGTGTTTAAAATCAGTGCTTGATTCACTATCACTGAATGTCACATTCATTGCTTCATACATATTGCTTCATATGTTGCATAAGATTTCGGACCTTTAACCTCCCTGGCGGTATTCCCGAGTGTGGCTCGGGGTTCATTTTCAGTACCAAAAGCGGTAACCCCGAGCCACACTCGGGATTACACTGTAGTGTCACTTACCTTGTCCCTACGACCCCCGATGTGTCCTACGGCCGATGCGGCATCCATCTTCCTTCCCTACTAGCGCCGGCGTCACAGGGGGGAGGAACCGGTGGGAAATTCAAAAGTGAAAACATGACATACACACAATACATTGTAATCTGTCATGATTACATTACTGTATCAAACCATTTCAGCTCAGTTTTGTCCAGTGCCCTGCCTGCACTTTTACCGTTCTTTCTGCCTCGAAACTTGAGAACTTCCATGGCATCCAAAAAGCGTCTCTTTATGTCAAAAGCGGTTTTAGACCACCTAGAAAACAGCGATAGTGATTTAGAATCACTTGCAGAATTGAGCGATAGCGATTCGTGGGGAGATTCGTCAATACATTCTGTACATACATATAAGTAGTATTTGGACGAAAATTAAATTGGAATGTCAACTATGCACTACCAAATTACTAATTTCGCCACCATTTTCATAATTCCAGTGTTTGTTTGAAAGCAACAGCCTTGATGGAGGAAATAGCCCCATGGTGAAGCCTAAAGGAGACAAGCAAGTGGAATATTTAGACTTAGATTTGGACTCTGGCAAATCAACACCTCCAAGAAAAGTAAGTGACGTAAGTGCACAGATAACTGTTATTTCGCACAGCTTATATGACACATATGCATGCTTAGTTTTATATGAATGCAGGTTTCAGGGTAGTCCAAATCTCTGCCTAATTGTAAAATATTATTTTGGAATGGGCAAGCTAGGTTTAATTGCAGAGATTCATTTCTCTATTGTCTATTGAGGGGCACAGCTTTATAGTAGGTAACCTTGGATTATACTGCTGCCTACTGGAGAAATTGTCAGCCCCCTTAGGGCTATAACCTCTCCCACGCCACACCTACCCAGTTTAGCTCATAATCCTCAGAAGAATAGATGTCTTTTCCTTTTTGCAATATTTTTTGATTGAATTGGGAAAATTACTATTAACATGTTCTGGTAGATTCAGGCTGGATTTTGGAAATCCTGGAAGTTTCGTTAGCCAACGAGCACAGGGTTTGCCAGTTCATTAAGTATAGTAGTATTCTCTTCTACGGTCCTACATTTGACAGTGACAGCTCTTCCATGTTCCACTTAGCACAAGATTCCACTATTCAGGTAGGGCCAGTCTATCTGGGGATTCCGTGCATAGTTCTCAGGACCATAGCAATGGCAGGTAACCTGTCTCCATCTCAGAAGATGTATTGTTGTGAGTGACTACCCAGCTATGCTGTGTTGAGGAAACATTCCTTTTTTTGTACATGGGTTGTGTAACGTCTTATCAGAAGCTGTTGCAACTAGCCAGACCTAAAGACTGTGTTGTAAAACTGTGCAGTTCAGATACACGAGATTGTGTAGTGTTTTGATGACGAGTGATAAGGGTGTAGAGAATGAACTATGGAAAGTGGTGTCATTAGTATCTCTTTACCAGCACTGTAATTGTGGCATTACAGGGATGGGGCACCTTCTTGAGCAACTCGCCTGCCCTGACTGAGGCATCAGAGTTCATAGGGAATTTCACTGCTTCCCTGTCATTGACCATGCTGCTGCCCAAAGATTGCCCCATCAGTGTAAGGAAGATCCAACCCATTTGAGTTCTCATGGGAACGGTAGTCAACAAGGGCTAAGATAAATATCAAGATATAGATATCTATATATTATAATCTATATCTCTTGCCCTAATGACTTCTCCCATGGGCGGGTGATCAACAAAGGAGCATTAAATACCTCATGATGTCACAGGATGTAGAAACGTGATAATGACAATGCAAGAAAAGTTATTTTTGCAGTTTTCACATACTGTAAGTGAGGGAGACAACCTTTGAAAGGTTAGTGCTTATACTTCAGGTTCCAGGACTGTTACCCATCATATGCATTCAAATGGCTGCAGTTTATTCAAGTAACTTCTAACCATTTCTTTTTACACCACAGAAGAAGAGCAGTGGCTCTGGAAGCAGTGCTGCAGAGGAGAAAGTGGATTATGTTGTCGTTGACAAGGAGAAAACCCTCGCTTTGACAAATACCAGGAAAGCATGGACTGATGAAAGACAGTCAACGGAATCTGAAACCCCAACCAAGAGTGTCAAATGAGGTTTTTAGCATGAACACTCTTGCAAGCAAACCCTGCCAGAAACAGTGCAATGTACTATGTCTAATTGCGCATATCTAGGAACTTTACAGGTGACTTGGTGAGACAGAGACTGATTAGTGCACTGTGGAGTCTATATCACTCATAAATGAATGTACATACTCTATCATGGGAAACCAACAAGGACCATTTGTTTAACACATTTAGCCATGTTTTGTAGTATTACTATGTTTTATGCACTTTTTGTGGTTCGAACAATGGTTCTTGTTCCTAACACATTTTGCTATTAACGCAGATAGTTTTATGTCGTACACTAATACAACTAAAAGCTGTAAGAATTTTAACATGGTAGATTGGCCACGAATGCATTGCAGTGCATGGTAGCATAACAATGGCCAACTATTATCAAAACAACGAATTGTAATTATTGTATTCTCTGATTTATGACTTTTATGCTTTCTTTTTATTTTGTTTATTTGCGTGACAATTATGTTTTAGATTTCAGAGATTATCAGCCTTTTGTTTTTTAAAGAATGGGATGTTCATTGCTGACTTCATTGTATTGTCTTGGTCTTTGAAACTGCAGAACCATGTGCTCTTTTTAAAATGATTTTTTTTTTTTATACAGGCAGTGTAATTATCTAGTTGGCTCAATGATAGTTGGCTGTCATTGATCAAAAATGTGTAATGCAATGTAATTTCATTCTCTCCCTCCCCCAAAATTGTGGTGTGGTAGAGATGGGTGGGTGTTTTTATCCTGCGCTAATTGAAGGACCACAAAACCTGCAATACAGTTTGATTTTATATGAAAATGAAAGTGGTAACATTTAAAAATATATTTGTAAGCGTTTCTCTGATATCAGGCGCTAGCTGAATGCCTCATGTGTCCTTTTAGTTCAGATGTCTCTGCTCAGGTACAAGCTGAGTAACATGTAGACAATTCCTTGGGAAGCAAGTCTGACTTCAAGTCCTCTGTACCTCCAATTAAGGCTTCATTTTGGAAATGCATACAAAATATTATTTTCACAAGATTTCTCTTTTTTTTTTTTTCCTTTTAAAAAATGAGAAGATCCTCTTTCCATCTCCTACTGGTAATAAATGTTCATGTGTAGTCACATCTCTATACATTGCCAGGCATTTACAAAGAGTTGTGCTTGGCAGGAAGATGTAAAATAGAACATTTATAGGATTTCTGTACATAAGCTACGAAACATGGACAAATATTGTAAAGTATGGTCACCTAAGATGAATTCTATACATGACATGCAAGCCTGGTAATGGAGATGTGCCCTCAAATAATTTGTTTTCATAGCCCAATTGCTGCACTCTAAATCGTTCTCGCTGTATTTGGATTTTGAGGGGCTAGAGGTTCTCGGACCTGTTTGTTTTTTTTATGTTCTAGATCGCTACGCAACATCATAAGCATGTCTGGTTACCAAGTCAGCATGCCTTACAGTAAAGGAGGACAACTTTGAAAACCTTTGGCTATAAACAATTAGATACTTGTCCTCTGATAGCTATATTTTACAACCCGTTCAGACCAAACTGTCAAGCATTTCTTTAAAGTACAGAGGACTGCAAATGATCTGGACACCATCAGATCAGAGATTCCCTTTGTTCTTAAGTGTTAGCAGTTTGAAAACCTGTGCTGTACCCATTATTATGTGAATGCATGTCCATGTGATACATGCTTTGTATTGTATCCACTGTGTATTTCCACTTTTACAGTCAAATTTGAGAAAACCCCTCTGTGTGATGTGTTCCTATTCACACAGCCTAAAGAAAAATAATTTAAAAAACATATTTCTTACCTTTTTTGAGATGATTTGTTAAAGCAGACAAGATGGCAGATTCCATTTTTTTTTCTCATCACCTTCACAGTGATCTGTCCTAATGGAAAGGCTCAGGAATGAAATTTGAGGATTGTGTTTTCTCTCATTCACTTAACAATCAATGGATAAACCACCTCAGACCCCTCACAGCCTATCCTAACATTGCAAAACAAGATAAGCAAGTAGAAATGTTAACCTGTAAAAGCAGTTTTAACTGCAAGAAGTGTTTTTTTAAATTATTTTTTTTTTTTAGCTTCTGTTATGTGAATGGGAACATGTAACAAATATAAAATAGGTGTTATCCCAGTCTGGCTGCAAAAGTGAAAATATTTTTTGTTTTATATATCTGTGGCAATCTTTAAGCCCCACTTCAACCAAAACCTTGGGCTTTTTTTTTTGTTTTGTTAAGTTTTAAGGTAAGGCATACGGTCATTGTCAGGTTTTTATTGCTGTCTGACTCGCCATTGAGGAGATTTTCCTTCACTTTCTGTCAGGACAGAAAGTGTTGGGAAATCATTCCAATGAGGACAAACTGCAAGGAAACACGGGTAAGGAATTGTCTGGCTTCCTGCCCTGGTGACAACCAACTTTCTCATTTATTATCCTGCTTTCAGAGGTACAGGAAGTGAGGTGAAATCTCCAGGATCATGGGCAGCAATAAACATTTGACAGAAGCATTTATATTTTCTATCCACAATGAAAAAAGTTTTGAAGAGTCTTTGACTTTAAGAGCAACTTTTAGAAAAATTATTGCTTAAGACAATAGTAGGCTTGCTGGACTTTAAATATGTCCTTATAAATGTTTATCCATTGAAGCCATCTAAGCAAATACAAGGTTCATACTAATGTTTGGGGAACTGGTTACTAAATCCTTGGTCCTGTTAGTCCAGTGTTTCCCAAACCTGCCCTCACGTTCCACCAACAGTGTGTGTTGGATATCCACACATGTAGGTAAATGGCAATAATGAGGCACTGAATACTCTACCTGTGCATGGGAATCCCAACATTACAATCAGGTGATGGACCAGCTGTGGAACCTCCTAACATACTACCAGTATTGGTACTGTCTATAGCCTTCAGTACTATTGCCTCTGAAACTTAGGTTTTAATAAAATGCCATTTCTTTGTTATATAAAGTTACTGGTATTGTGTTTCTGAATAGATTATTTTTTCTAATGGCATTTTTAAATGCTTATTAGTAGTTAGGGATGCACCAATACTTTTCAGATACCAGTGCCGATACTTGGCATTTTCACGAGAACTATCAGGGTTGCAGCTGGGACCTGGCTCTGGTGCTCCACCACTCTCCTGAAATCATTAGTCTGTATTGTTTTAGAAAAACTGTCACATGACAGACAAAAATGTATCGGTACTCGTACTTGTAAGTACTTGGCCAAGTATCAGTACTTGCAAAACTGGTATCTGTGCATCCCTTTATTTATAAAAACAGAATCATACATTAAACAGATGTACAATTTCCAGGAGGTCCGTGTGCTCCTTACAAATGACAGCTGCCTCCTAATTTTTAATTTTTTTTTCTAGTCTAGTCTTGGAGCTGGAAAAGTATCTGTACATGTACCGAGTATGGTACTTGGTATCGGTGCATCCCTATCAGTAGTATTAAGACTGAAAGCTTTAATTGCATCGTTTAGCCACAGTAGGCATTAACTACATGTTGGTGAAGCTACTGTACATCACCTTGAAGTGTAATTCTGGCAAGAAAAAATATATTTTTGAATGTTACATATTGCTTTTTAATACAAACTCTAGATTTGGTTTGTGGTCTTTAAATGGTAATGTCTAATATCAGTATTTTTATTTATCCGAATAACGCATCGCCTTTTTTTTCCCCAGCATTTAAAGTTTTAGGAAATGACATGAATTTGTGACGAGGCCAACAGCTATGCTAGTCACCTCTTTATCAGTGAATATTCTGCAGGGTCAGATTTTGCACTGAGAGAGGTGATTTTATAGAATTATCTTCTTGTACGCGGCATATGGTGTCTGCAGTTATTTTAGCATTTTTGTGTGTCATTCAGACGGTAAACTAATATTAATCAGGTACTTCAAAAGCACTGCTGTGCTAATAACACTGATCAGGACTTTACAGTGACATTAAGCAGTTAAGGTTTTAATGCTTCTAATGCTGTTATGTTTTGTTGAGAAAGCTGCCATTCACGTTTTAGTGCTAGCACAATACTGTGATATTTTGTTTTTTGTTTGGAGTAGCCAGATATAGATTGTTTTTTGACACCATTGTGCCCTATAGATTGACATTGTTTAACTTAACACCTGCTTTGCCTTATATATTTACATTTCCTATGCAACTTTTTTTTTACATAACTAGTAACTTTTTTTTCCTTTTATGTTATTTACTACTTTTCCTTTTGACGATTTCATGGCCCAGCACAATAGTAGACCTGAGCAATGCAGTTGCATACAAAACCCATAGAAACTAGATACAAATGGAGACCTTCTTGCTGAGGAACTGAACTGGAGGCTGTTCCCAAAGAAAGGCAGGCAGATTGCAATTGATTAGTCACCAGTATTACCTGTGGTCTCCCAGCAGCTGATCTTTTCTCCATTACATACTTCTCATACCTTGTTTCGTTTTTGTGGAGGCGGCCATCTTGGCAGAAGCAGGGCTTTTGCTTCCTTAGAGCTTCCAGCAAAGAGAACAGTGAGCAACACAGTAGTGACATCACAAATCTCCCAAGACTAGTAGTCAGTGGCAGCAGTGCCTTAGATCTCAGACAGCAGATATACAGCTATGAGGTTGTGGGCACAAGATTGCCTAGGCACCCTCGCATACCAGGAAGTGCAGTGCTTTATTTCATGAAGAAATCCAGACAAAAGGTACACTTTTTAGGGTATTGTTTAGGCACAATTAACATTTCTAAATATCCCCCAATAACGGCAGATCTTCACTTTCTGAATGTAGTTCCTCTTTTAATATCCCTTTACTGCCCCTTGTAGAGCATTGAGGTTCCTCATATTGTGATGGCATTTGCAGTTCAAGTTCCCTTTTTTTGCTTGGATCCCTTGAACTATAATTTAAGTGCCTTTGACAGGTATTATAAACTTAGACCTTTCTTAGCAGCGAGCAGCTGTAGTTTGGCTTAAATTACCACTGTTTTGTAAAGTATAGTATTGTGATCATTGTATGTGGGTAATATATATAAACTAGTAGATTTCCTTTCACAATTCTCCATTTATATTTTTCTTCACATGTGCATGCAGACCAGCAACATGAACAGGGATTGGGACAAACTAAAATGCTGATGGGGTGCTTACAACAGTCCTCATTTGCTCATGGTTTGAGTAATCAAGCGCTGTTACCTGTCACTTTTCCCTAGCAGCTTGGGCTTCATATTTGTGGAGAAACTTAAAAAAAAAGACTTAATAAGGAGCTGATATAATTAAAAGGATTTCTGCTGCATGTATTTAACTGCTTGGCATAAAATGAACTATTGAACTAGATAGGTAAATTCAAATGACACAAGAGCTAATTCAGAGGACTAATTTATTTCTCTTTCATGCCTTGTATGGCTCTTCATGGAGTTTTATTAGAGAGAGACCATTTTAAAGGGAAGAGGGCACTGCTGTGCTCTGTGTAGAAAACCCAGAATGCTCTGCCCAGTCAGTGTTATGGGTGTTTAGATGGATGTTTAATTTTACACATAACCATTGAAGTAACAAACGTTTTCATACTTTTTAAGAAAAAAAATGAATACAAATTTGACCCTAAACCATCAGTCTCTATTTAACCGCATACAATTAACACATACAATATATTTGCAGTAGGTATACCTTAATAGTTTTCTAA